ATTATTTGCTTATTTGGTCTTTATTGTTTAGCAAATCGTGTTGTTTGTTCATGTCATGTGTATATGTATGATCAAGAGACTTTTCCTGGTTTATACAAAGGAAATGACGGTCAGAAATTCCTTGAAACGCTCGATTGATCGGTCTTTACTTCTACACTTTTGTTTCTTACAGGACGCTTAAGACCGCCTGCAGTGTATGTTGGTGGCATGCAACCCAATAGGGGGAATTATATTGGAAATTTTGGCTATCAACAACCGGTTTCTTATGCTTATCAGCAGGGACTTGCATATCCTCCTTACGGGTGTGTCCCCAAGGTTCCTCTTTGTGCATCCAAGCGTGCCGATGTATCAAATTTAATTATTTTGTTAAACCTCGATATCTTCCGTTTTGCTTTATCACAACCTTTACATCTTGTAGTATGACTCTGTGGGGCTTGGTTTGCTTTAAAAAAATCGAAATTATGCTTTCCGGTTTGGTATTTCATTTTAAGTACCACAACCATGCGTGTTCTTTGAATGGACCTTTAGTTTTCTTGGTTTCTTAAAATGGTTTATAGACATTACTTGCTTGGTATTCATCCTCTGCAATGCCCTCTTAACGTTAGTATTCATCTTTAAAGACACTAGAGGCATAATATCAATCACTACATGCAACATTCCTTAGGATATGCTTCTTTGTCACCTCCTAGAAACCAGGATTGATACCTGGTCAGTGATGTGGCACATTGTGATTGGTAATTTTAGGAATACCATAGAATTTATTTGAAGATATGTGCCAAGACTAATGTAATTGAGCTAGAAGAAGCATGGCTAGTATTATTGGAGAAGTTTTATTTCTTGCTTTCACTTGCATTCGTAGTTTATACGAGAAGTCAAGTTAGTAGGATTTGATCACTCTGGTCTCTAGTGAATTGGGATACCAAATACTTGTCTTCCGGTATCGCAATGGTCTGTGGGTTATAAAGTGATTCCGCCTGCTAAGTCTGCTCCACTTCAATTTATTCTACTATCTAGATTTCTGCTTTCATATTCTTATGTTTTAGAATATTTATAATATTTTCCCTCTTTCGTTTTTATGCAGTTATGCTACTTATGGACCGGAGTATGTCTACCCGCAGGTATAGCTATAGCTTTATTTACTTGTGTCTGCAATTCTGTGTTTGGAGGGTGGAAGTAGGGAAGGGCGATACGTAGGGTATCTTGAAAAGTTTCTTAAGGTTTTCGATTGTTTTAGCATAATATGCTCGTTGGTTTTGATTTTTTGTGTCTTGTATTCTTTGCATAGGGTGGATATAACCCTTTTGTGGGTCAGCAATACCTGCAGATTTATGGGGTGCCGGGGTCAGCGAGCCCTGCTATTTATCATTATGGACAATTAGGTCAAACAGTCCCCGGTGGTCATGGATATGGAGCAGTACATGGATACGCAATGCCAAGTCCTCAGATCGTGCAGTTTGGTGGACCTAATGTCAACCCGTTAACATCTTCTCCAATGCCTACTATTCAGGCACCCTATCCTTCAGGTATTTTGCGTCGTATGCATATACTCCGTGCTGTTGTTATATGAAGATCACTCTTGATTGCAACATCGCGTAATATGAGTTTTGACTAGTCTTTTTAGGTATTTTTCTTTGAATTTGTATTTTTATTATCATCAATTGGATCTTTTTGTGTAATTGTGTAGTCTTTTCTGGATTCTCCTTCGGTTTGGTCCTTCGGTCTTTTTCTCGAGGCTATTTTTTTGTTTGTTTATTTATTTTTCAGCAATGCCTTGTCTTAAAAATCTAGAAGAAGTGTGTTCGTCAACTCGTGTTCAATCATTGCATTGACTTAGTTATGTGATGAACAACAGGACAAGGATCCATGCGGGTCAATGAGGAGAATAAGTTTGTTTTACTATAGAACCAAGAAGATATAATGTATCGAGACGTCTTCATTGTTTAATACTATTTAGCTCACATTTCTGTATGTTTTACTTGTACCGTGTTCTTGATCATCTGATGAGGAATAAAGGAAAACGAAAATAATATGCTTTTGCACGATCGATATGCTTGATTAGGAAAATGTGTTCGTTTATTTCATCAGGGATCCCAGCACCTGTTGCAGCACAACCACAGTTCATTGTCCATTCTCCTTCTCAGTTTGTACAAGGTAGCAGTTCTGACCAGACATCTGGGTGAGGAGTTGATCAGGTAAACTCCAAATTTTGCTGTTAATATTTGAAATTGCCCTTCCTATCTCTATCACCAGCAGTCTCTAACGGCCTACAATTTGACTACGTTCATAGGTATCAATAGATTGCAGCAGGACTTAGAGCAGTGGAACTGCTACTTGTGTGGCGGGCTTCGGATCTAGCCTCGCAAATAATTTATCATGCATTCTAGAGGTAGTCTTATGCTCGCTGCATCGCTTTTTCAACAATTTTCATCTGTGGTCAGGATAACAACTATTTGAAAAGCATGTGTTAAAATCTTTGCTGTCATATCTTATTTCATATAGGATTATAGCAGAATGGTATGGTGAGTTCTGGAATATGAGCCCATGACATAGGGAACAACTAATCTGTGGGGGGTTTAAGGTTGTTAGACTTGATGATGTGTTTGGATACTCATAGGAACGAGTGTGTAGGATGTCTAAACTGTGTAAACCGCCATGAATTGGCCGAGTGGTCGATAAAGATTATGTAAATAATAAAGGGTTTGAAGGGAATAGGTTCAAGACAATGGTGGCAACTTCGCATATAAATATCTTTGACTACTAAATGTAATAGGATCAGGTAGTTGTCTCCTCGTGAGAATAGTCTTAGGTGCATCTTTCATTTCCACTTGCATTTGATTTTAAAAGTTCTCTTACTTAACTGCAGTTCTTCACAGTCATGCTCACCAGAGAAGTCGGATGGTGTCGAGTCGCTCCAGATGGTGGAGAAAGCATATGGAAGAGATGCAGGGCTGCTCTTTCTCTAATACCTTTGTTCTTCCCCAGTGTTTATAAACTCTTATACACTGCCAATGCTCTGGAGAGCGGCAGGTCGTCATGGATTGATTGATGGGTGCTTGAAATCGGTTTTAAGCATCCATTTAGGAATAAAAACGTGTAAAAAAGAAGTCGAAAATAGAATCAACATATGATTCTTTTATAGTGAACTCCCAGCATTTTGGGTGTTGTATAGGAAGTGTGTCTCTGGTGGCTTTATGTGGTCATGGGTCTATCATCATCATCATCATCTTGGTACTCGTATATGATTTCCTTTAAGTTCATGTGCATATTAGTTCTAGGATTTCTTTTGAGACCTGACTCACTGACTGACTTCATAACAACGAAGCAGCTTCAGGTTCTATCAGGAAAAGATCAAATTGCTGATTTTTCGTTTTTAATATCCATCCATCCCGCACTGCCATATGTCGGATTGGGATTGGCTGCATCTGCCTGCATCAGAGGATGTAAAGTTTCTAGTTCTTCCTTCACAATGTTTAGAACATTCTGTTTATTCATTGTGTTTGTTGTGGGATCATCATTTTTGTCGTTGTTCTTTTTCCCCTAAAGGGAATTTTTCGATGGATTCGAAACATTGGACGGAAGCGTTGGGGATTTATCGAACCATTATTGTGATATGATACCATGATAGGTCCATAGAAATGACTTCCTTGGTGCAATGTTTTGGCATTGTTGTTGGCTTTTCATGGCGCGATTCGTTCTTTAATCATTCTTTTTCGGCTGTGATTCGCTAGTTAGTCTGTTCTTCCTCTTGGCACTAAATGATGAGTTTTTAGAGCTGATTTTACTATGAATTGATGTTTTTAGGCTTTGTTTCTAAGTTACTTCTTTGTGAATTTTTGTTGAGTTTCTGAAGTGTTATCAACATTATTATATTGTCGTTGATTATTATGATGTCGATACTCGTTAAGGGGCCATTTGGATGAGGAACGAGGAACGAGTAATGAGTAATGATGATCTATCTCTTGTTTGGAACAATTTTATTTACCTCCAAAAGTTGTGGGTTTTCTGGGTTGATATTTTGATTCATATATTCATTTTTCAATAATTATAATGGATTATTTATTATCCATTAATTTATTTCTGTTAGATATTAATTTTAATTAATTCATTGAATCATGTACTAAATCATTTTTATGGATTTGTTAATAATATATCCTAATTATATAAGATCGTGGTTTTTGTATGGTCTACTTTAAGAAAAATGTTAAATTATGTTTATTATAAATTTATTAATGAATGAAGATTTAAGTAGTTGAACTATTTTAATAATTAAATTAATTAACAACAATAACTATCTAAAATTAATTAATCTAGTGTTCGTATTGTCATTATCAAACAGATAATAGGACTCCTTTCGAGCACTCTTTCTATCTACTATTATCTCAAAATAATCAAGTTATTAATTACGGGACGAAACCAAGAAATAACCCGTCACATGTGAAATAATAGAAGATCTCCTTTAAGATCAAACAATTCCATCGAATTGAGTATGATTGTATGTGTGGAGGGGACCACCTCAGCTCCTCTCTTCTCGAGAATCCATACATCCCTTATCAGTAAATGGACAGCTATCTCTCGAGCATAGGTTTAGGTTCGGCTCAATGGAAAAATAAAACGAAGTCTTAACAACGTATCTTCACATATCAAGAACTACGAGGTTGTCCCTTTCATTCTGAGGTGACAGAAGGCTCGTACTAACATGAGAATAATGTTATGGATTTAGATTTTATGATTGACAGAAAAGTGACGTCTCACTAGCTTTACCTTTTGACAATGGCTTCCCGACCTGTAAATTCAAATGAATAAAGTAATGAAGAAGATACCTACACAAAATTTTCCATATTACCCTCATTTGCAACCATCTCAACCTCCAACTAACCCTACTACATGGGGGGCAAACATGACATTTCACCATGGAAAAAAAAAAACATTCTTACTTTGCTTTAAAGCCAAGAAGAGAAGTTGATGCAAAGTTGGAGGGTTTATTCCCACAAACATTTTCCTTTTGACTGTTCTCTCTCACCACAAACATTCAACATTGTTGTTCTTGGCTTGGTTTTGTGGTTGAATGAGCTGAAAGTTATGGGTTCATAGTCAAAAGTGTCCAAGTTCAGAATGGCATTTCTTGTAGCAGGAGTATTAATTAAGCTTCTGCAGAGTATGAACTCCAATGTGAAGGTCAGAGGAGAGCACAGATCAGTGCTATTACAACTTATCAGTATTGTACCAGCTTTAAATGGTTCAGAATTGTGGCCTAATCAAGGCTTCTTTCTAAAAGTTTCAGATTCTTCACATTCTACTTATGTCTCATTGTCCAAGCAAGATCATGAGTTGATCTTGAACAACATCTTACAACTAGGCCAATTCTTCTATGTTGATAAGATGGAAGCTGGAACTCCAGTTCCGGTTCTTGTTGGGATTCGACCGGTTCCTGGACGACAACCTTTCGTTGGGACTCCCAAGGATCTTATGCAAATGATGGAGCCATCAGTGAGCCTAGTCCAAGATTATCAGGAAGGAAAGAGTGGAGGTAAATCGAATGAGAGAATGAGACACAAATTCGTGATCAAAGAGGAGAAGATAAACGTTTCGTCGCGGTATATGCAAGGTGTTTCGTCGTTGAATTCTAGAAGTGGTCAGGTACAAGTATATATCACACTAACCATGACATTCATTTTAGGCTCAATCTAAGAATTAGAATAATAATGTAACGGCATAAGCATACTGCTACTAAATATTGTCCTCTTTGGATTTTACCTTTTGGCCTTCCCCAGGGTTTTTAAAATGCGTCTGCTAGGGAGAGATTTCAACACTTTTATAAACGATGGTGTTTCGTTCTCCTCCCCAACCGATGTGGGATCTCACAATCCACCCCCCCCCCCCCCCCCCCCC